CCGGAATCATTCGGTGACTCTCGGCGGGGAACAATACGAGCGAGAGCTGCGGCGCTCGGCGTCGTTCGGCGACGTTCGGTTTTTTTCGCGGACTTGCGAGTTCGCGCGGCCTGTAATTATGTTCGCATTGCCGGGAACGATGCCTTTTGGGGGTGCATCGTTACATAATTATTATTTTTATTTATTTTATGTAGAAAATATCCATGAAGATATTCAGTCGTCCCCTTCAATGAGTCGCACTTCAACACAATCACGTACCGCAACACCGTTATCTAAAAGAAAAAAATTTGAAATGATAAAATCTGAAAGTGTATCCCCTGAAGCTACAAACACTTTTTGGTCAAAGGCATCGACTGCGATTTCATTAGTTAAAAATGAAGAAACAGAAGACGGCTTGAAACATTGGATTCTATATTTAGAGAAGGAGTTACGCAAAATTAAAAATTTGAAAAAATTAAAAGATTTGCAAAGAAATATTATTGCATTAGTAGATGATGCAGATAGTGATTAAATAATATACTGTTTTTTATATCGTTCCACTTTATTATTATTCATACAAATGTTTATATATGTTGTGTTAAAAGTATGTGATAATTATTTTATTACTATAGTGAGTAACGTACGTATGAGTATGTGATACAAAATTATTTTATTACTATAGTAACGTACGTATGAGTATGTGATACAAAATTATTTTATTACTATAGTAACGTACGAATGAGTATGTGATACAAAATTATTTTATTACTATACTTATTATTGTATTCTGCTATCAGCGATATAAAATATAACATATAGAGATATAGAGATATCTATATATCTCTATATGTTATATTTTATATGTATTTCATATCTATAAATACTTAACAAAATTAAATCATTGCTTCTTGCCATTCAACTCTTCCAACAGTATTGAAATATTGTTTAAAAATATCACGAATATAAATTGCATTTCTACTAGGTCTTATGTTTACAACATCTAAATTATGTAACTGTACATTATTATTTCTCCATGTGCCAGGTATTACGGTTTCATTTTCTAAATCTTCAATATCTACTCCTTTTAAAGAATTATTTTCTTTAATGATATAATTATGTAAAACGCAGCAAGCAAGTGTTATATTTTGAACTGATTCTACGGATAAATATATTTGTGTTAGAAGAACACGAAATCTGTTAGCTAATATGCCAAAAGCATTTTCAACTACTCTTCTACCTCTACTTAGTCTATAATTAAATATTCGCTCATCATGAGACAAGTTGCGTGATGGATAAGGTTTCAATAAGTGATTTTGCAATGGAAAAGCCGCATCAGCTAAAATAACAAAAGGAATAGGCTGATTCATACCAGATAATGGCTTATCTTTTGGCACATTTAATGGATTTTGTGGATCATTTATATATTTTGCCAAATCGCTTTCACGAAAAACTCCTCCATCGCTTACTCTACCATTAACACCAACGTTGACATATATAAATTCATAGTGAGCATTAACTAATGCTAATAAAACAATACTGTTTGTACCCTTATAATTATAATACAATGATCCTTGACTGAGAGGAACTTTAAACTCAATATGCTTGCCATCCATTGCACCGATGCAGTTTGGCACATTCCATTGTCTCAAATAATTATCAGCAACATGATTCCATTCTTCTTCGGTATCTGGAGTCTAAAATATTATGTATGCTAATTATTATGTATGTAAATATTATTTGAAATATTCATAGCATATTCGATACAAGGAAATAATAATTATAATTTTAATAGTTACCCTTAAATATTCATCTTTTAGTACTTCATAGATGACTCTAACTGTCTCAGGAATGATACGTGATAAAGTACAAGCTGGTACTCTTGTTGCGAATTCCATGCTGCGAAAAGATTCCCCAGTAGCTAAGAATCTTAGAGTCAAGGATAGTCTTTGAATTGGTGGAATGCACTTTCGCATAACTGTATCTTGTTTTTGAATATATGGAGATACTTTATCCAACAGATTGTTGAATAATTGAAGATCCATTCTAAAGAATCTACAAAAAGATTCTATATCTTCGTTGATAAGTTCATTGAGTGCTAAGTGAACAGATCCTCTTAATTCAAACTCTCTTCGTACAATCCACTCTCTTGTCCACCATCTCCGTTGTCGGTTTTGTAATTGTCGTATTCTCCGTTGTATTTCTTGCTCTTCTTGTTGTTCCGCAACCACAGCAAAAGCTGCAAGAGTCAGCAATTTCTTTAATTTTGTCTTTCTTGCTGAGTTATTCATGTTCAAACTATGATACAAGAACAAGGTTATGTTTATGCGCATATAGATACCACGTGATCATCACGTGACATAAAACTAACATACATCACGTTTCGAAGGAGAGAAAGAGAAGGGCTGTGTATACATATAAACCTCTCTTTCTCTCTTTTACGAATGTGACGTAGCTGGTTGAGATGCGCAGTGGGTTTCCACGGGATGAGCATACCCTTGTCTTTATACCATAGGTCTGTTTCTTATTGCTGCACTCTGAACCGGTGCAATAAGTTGAAGTGAAACAAACGTATATTTGTTTCACTTCAACTTATTGCCCTGTGTGTATTAGTTCAAAAAGTGCAGCAATAAAAAACAGACCTCATGGTTCAAACTAACACTGTGAATAGATTAGGTTATGTATTGGGTTGTCCGGAAAGTCCGTGCGGATTTCTCAATAGATTTCCGAAAAAAACCAGGACTTCTACGAGAGAGGAATTCTGAAATTATCCGAAAGATGGAAAAGTATTTGTGCAAAATAATGGTGCATACATTATAGATTAAAATTATTTTTAACTAAAAAAATTTGTCATTCAAATTTTGCTTGAAAATCCGCACGCACTTTCCGGACAACCCAATACATTAGTTCTCTTCAATTAAAAGCAGTTCGTATTTTAATTTCACATATATCAATAATTTTTAATAGTTAAAAAAGTATTTGTAGCTTTATCTATTATATTTCCCGAAAAATCAAAATAAATTAAAATTTACTCAGATCTGAAGGAGCATTGATACTGGATATACTGTTTCATGCATTTTTTATTATAATTATTTAGCTAAATGATTTCAAACTTTTATTGTATTAAACGGAACAAACTTATATTTATTTCAAAATATTTTTATTTCAATGTATTTAAAAAATAAGAATTTCACTTGTAAATTCGATACCAATGTTGATATAAATTACGCTTTTTCTTCAGTTACAGAATGGCCGCGTCTCCAATCAATGTAATTATTAAGTAAATCCGTTGAAAAAAGGAAAGCATGTCCGTACTAAATGATCCCTCGAGATTTATATCATATAAATTACGAAAACGTGTATTATCGTTGTCGTACATCAGCGCACAATGATTTTCCGATCCAATACAGGTTACGTATGTCGTTTACATAGGCTGCGTTCAGCAGACTCAGCAGTTTTGCAACCGTCTTGTGATTCTTCGCTGAGATAGAACTATTCCTTTAAATCTAAAAGTATAACCCAATCAGCGCGACGAATCAATATAGCCATATTGTGTTAACGCTACCTACAGTCATCAAAGTACAACTATTTCTATTTCAGGGCTTGGATCGAGAACTCGGACGGATTTCTAGCATCGTGTACACAAGGCTTTAAACCCGAACAAAACATATTGCCAACATAAAACATAAAAGATTTGAAACTACTTATTGTATAGAACATTCCTTGATAGATAGAAGAATGAAATAAGTTTTGAGGTTATAAAATTTACAAAAATGGATTATGATACGGAACCTGAGACGAAAAATATTTTCTCATTTCTTAACCTTATAAAATGTGTAAAATTGTTGACACCGAATTTTTATATGTAAAACCGATTGAAGACCGTTTACACGGCTTTCTTAAAACGGTTTAATAACGCCAAACCTCTTTCTGAAGAGGCCTGGATTTACTAAAACGGTTTATAGTACAATGTAGGGAAGAGTCAAAATGACATCTATCCGTATTGTCTTTCTTTTCTTCGTCGAGCTGCGGTTTTCTATAGTTTAGTGTAGGGAAGGCGCGCTCCAGGGTATCAATCATGAAACTTTATCCCTAGGATGGAAAGTAAAAAGTGAAAATTTTATCCATTGAAGTTAATGGAGAAATTTTTCACTTTTCACTTTTCATTCTAGAAAAAAAGTTTCATGATCGATATTCATAGCGTTTTCGGCCCGACCGGGTTTGCACCAACCTGGGTTGGATTAATGGCGTTTTGCGCTCTCCTATTGGTAGAGCGTGTGACATCAACCAATAGGAAAGATTAATCCAACCCAGGTTGGTGCAAACCCGATCGGGCCGAAAACGCTATAAGTATATTACGGTTTCTGATAGGTTGAAATTTCTTGTTCTCTGTTCCTATTGCGTGTTTCTTTCCATTGGATGCATTCAGTACTATAATCGCTCACTGAGCGCTTAGTGAGTGGTTGTAGTACTGAATGCATCCATTGTGTTTAAGGGCACAATAGAGGAACATGAATTATAGATATTTAGATTTCAATCTATCAGAAACCGTGTATTCCGATGTAATCGGAAGTTTCAGGTGGCACCCAGTTGGACACGGCTCAATTGGACACGAGCCACTCACAGCGCTTGAGACTACAAAGCTCCTAAGCACCGGTCGCTGTGATTGGTGGTTCCAATCGAGCCGTGGTCAATCGGGACCACCCCATCAGTTTCTGATAGATTAAAATCTTAATATCTAATTCCTGTTCTTCTACTGTGTTCATGCTCTAACAGTAACCATAAGACATACCGTAAGAATTAGTCAATCAGAATTAAAGCGGGAACACAGACTCTTACATAACGCATAAAACATGAGGCATAAGAGAATCAACCAATCATAGTCCTTTATTTCACGGAAAGGAAGGAAATAAAGCACTTCGATTGCTTCATTTTCTTATGCCTCATGTGTTATGCATTATGCAAGAGTCTGTGCTCCCCGCTTAAGAGTTCAAACAAATTCGGCTCTGAAAGTATACACAGGGTATTCGAAAAGACTGGGACTTCCTATGATCTCCAAAAGTACCCACTTTCAAGGAAATATCAGTTTGACCTTAGGTGGCGTTGTGACCGGACTAATGCCTCAATTCTTAACAAAATCCGTGTAATTCCTATTTATTTAATTAATTCTTTAATTGTCACTGGTCGTGACTTACCTTGGTCGCCACTTTGTTTAACCTTTATAACAAAGAAGGTAATCCAGGTCCTCGGTTGTCCCGCTTAGCTGGCCTTTGTGCGATGAAGGGCTCTGATTGGCTTCCTTCCTGTCTGTCGTTCCTTTGATTGGCCGCTGAATGGTGAAGCTCGTGTCGTCGTGTGGTCTCTCTTTGTCTCTTGGACGCTTATAATTATTAATGGAATTGGTGTTCGTCGTAATCAAAGAGAAGGCACGTTGGTGTAACAAAGATATATTTATTTAATAGAAAAACACCAACAATTAATTAATAACGGCCTCTCATTCACACAGTTCGCACACATACGTAATTTCTGAATAATCGACACTCTCGCTCTCACTCTCGCTTATACATATCACGTTGTCGCATCGCGTCGCACTTTCGGCGGAATGGCGGATCTCAATATGGCCGCCCTTGGTGATTACGCAATCTTGCGTCACCTACTGCGTACAACGGTTAAGAGGTTAAATCCTCACTTAATTCGCGTTATCACGACGCGTGGTGTTTACGGGCTACGTACTGAAGACGTGTATTAACAATTTACGGCGTAATTTTGCCGATTTTCCGCGTTTTCACTTCACTAGCGGAACTTGCCGTTTGTTCGCGATTTCTCGCGTCAATTCGCGTTACAATACAGTACAATACAATATGGAATAATTAATCAAATGGTTTTCTAACCAGGTTTTTGAGTTTTAATAATTTTGACATTCTGTCCTTGTCTTACTAGTGCAATAATTATGCTTTCTCTCTCTAACTAAGGAGATGTGTTCCAATTAATTCAGGACTTGTAAAATAATTTAAAAACAAGTAAAATAATTCGGCTGACATGCCGTTGTGTTAAAATAATCAAAATAACGTGGTTTACTAACCTTTAACGTATAAAATCGCTCTTCGGCGTAAGTTATTAATCTTTTTTCTTTTTCAGGGTCACCAAATCCATTGCAGCGTATCTTTTATGGGTAAGTATCGGTAAGTATTTTCAGTATCTTTATTTATCTTTATTTTAACATGTTCCTTTTATCTAATTTTTCTCTTATTTGTTTTTATAGGTTAACGCACTGGATTGGATTGGATCGCCTTTCGGTCTCTGTGTTTTGCAGGATATTTAGGTAGGTTGGTTCTTGTTCAAATAATTATAAAAGGTATAAAACTTTATTATAATAGCATATATATGTGTTAATTAATTGTGTAAGATAAATATATTAACTTTTAGTCTTGTAACGTAACGTAATAAAATAGTAAGATATAATTATGACTTTGTGTCTCTTTGTATAATATCGCAGCTTGAGTACGGCTTGACCTTTTACAAATAAAATAACTAATAAAACTGCTAATCTAGCGTAAACAAAAACATAATAAAATAAGTTAATTCCGCGTTCTTTAATAATTCTTCACGCGGTGTTGTGTTGGTCTTCCGGATCCGTTGTCCGTCTGGTAGTCTCGCCGTCATCCTTCGGAACTGTTTGGAGGATGTCTTGAGGAAACGCCTTCCTCGCTGCTGCTGTGATAGTTTGTTCTGTTGTTATTATTTGCGTATCCTGTTGGAATTAATTTCGTCCTTTTATAATTATTCTGCGGACTTTGGAAAATTGCGGGCGGTCGCAGCGTCAAGGTTAGGGTTAGGTTAGGTTATAACCGGATCTCTATCTCGGATCTTAATAATTCCGCGTTTCCGGATAAATAATTAATTAATTAATGATATAAAGCACCTGTGGTGTCTTACTTTTCGGTCGCCACTCTGTTTTCCCAACTAACAGAGAAGGATTAGTAGTCCTGGATGTACCATGGAATCGGACTCTGCGGATAGGTTGTTCTTCATTGGTGCCTTCCTTCAGTCCTTTGTCCTGATTGGCCCGTCGGTCGAGATGTCTGATTCGCCGGATGTGTCCCCGTCGATATGCGGTGGAGTGTTTATTTAATTCAGGAATGGTAATGATCGCGAAAGAATACACGAAAGGTACGTTTGGTGTAACAAGGTATAAAATATTTATTCAGAAATAACACCAATAATTAATTTGATAGGCCCTCATTCACTCTGATCACTCACACACACTAATTTCTCAATATTCGACTATCTCGCCTTTTGTTTCTTTGTCTCTTTCTATCTCGCGTTGTCGCGTCGCGTCGCACTTACGACGAATGGCGGTTATCTAATATGGCCGCTCGCAAAGGTGGCGTGATGTTGCATCATCCACTACGCACAACGTGTTTCGAGGTTAAAACCTCGCTAAATTCGCGTTTATCCTACGCGTTGGTCTTACGGGAATCGTGCCATGCACGTTTTATGATGATTTGCGACGTATTTTCGCCGATTTCCGCACTTTGGCGGTTATAACGGAACTTTCACCGTATTTCGCGATTTTAATAGCGTATTACGCTATTTCGCGTTACGCGTTAGTTACTTAGCGTCGGGCTACGGTACGGTATGTCGCGATACCGGGTTTGTACCGAAATTCGCCAAATTACGCAATTTATGAGCCGCGTGGTTTCAGACGTCCGTCCCGTTCGAAGGTCTATTCACGACTGATTTCAAAGATGGCTGGCTTCACTGCCAAGATGTCGAGAAGAAGGAGTCTGTTCTATTTCCCGCGGTCGGTTCGGTGTTCCCGAATCTAGTGTATCTCTAGTAACAACATTCACACGGCCTTTTGTGGTTATTAATACGTTAAATAATTTGGAGTTAACCTCCTTAACACAAATTAATTGTGGTCTTTCCGCTTTTATACATTTTTACTGCGGATAATTAAATTTTGTTCTTGGACAAATTCAGCGATTCTTCTGTGATTGGTCAATAATTCTTGGACCTCTAAATATTCATAAAACAAGTTGAAATAATACGAAATAACTTTAAATAATTTATCTTTAATTCATTAATTGTCCCTGTCGCTGAATTAATTCAATTACAATATTCAATCGATAAAATGTTGATATGCGAGTACATATATGTACATCTATGACTGGAATAATTCGTGTATGACGAAATAATTATAAATAATTTAGAAATGGCTCACTATGCCCTAGATAATTCAGAAATAATTCCTGGAAGTGAATTTTTACACCTTTAATTACAAAATATCTCGCATATGAAAATTTTAGTCCCTTATGAAACTTTAGCGCACCTTAACGCTATATAACTTATTTGGAACAAACTTCCCTTTACCTTTTGATAATAATTAATTTGGAATCTCGATATAGAGTATGTACTGAAATA